TAAGCTAATAATGAAAAAGATACAATGTTGATAAATTTTATAATACTTTAAAAATCATTTTTAACATATCTCATATCATTTTTAAAGATAAAATCAAATTATTGCAACATTTTTTTACCTTATTTTTATTGAAAAAGTACTAAAACACTATTTTTTAAATGAAGATCAATAAACTAACAAATCTATATTGTATGTAATACAATTTTTTTTACAGAAGTTACCTAGAATATACATCCTACTAATCTGTTTTAAATAATCATAAAGTTTCTTTATTAACAAAAAAACAAGATCTTTTCTATACTGTTAATATTCTTAATGTAAATAATATTACATTTTTTCCTCTTAAAATAAAAAAATAATACTTATTTTTTCTATTCAATCGATTATGATTACAGAGATTTCTTAGATGCAATTGAATTAAAGATCAGAAAATTATTTTTCCGTTTTGAAAATATTGTCAAATTCTCAATTAAAACTAGAAATTTGTAGTAATATACTATAATCACCATTGATAAAAATGCTAATTTTGTAAAACTGAAAAAAAACTGATAGCATCTTTTTGATCAATGATATGATTAGAATTTATATACGTGATCTCTTCAGAAAAGATATACAACTAAGATATTGAAATTGAAATTGATATCAATATTAATATATAAAAATAGTCCTTTAGTTCCAGAAGCTAACCAAATTTATACTTATTTCTTCCTTTTTAGAATGGTTATTGCTAACATTATATGGCATAAACTGTATATAGTATTTATATAGAACAAAAAAATTAAAAAAATCATTTAAATAAAAATTCATTAAGTGATTATTATATTAATAATTCATTATAATGAGTTCAGATTGTACTTGCAATCTAATATTTAATATTCTGATTAGTTTCAATAAAGAAAACCTTCTTGGTTTTTATTATAAATGAATATTAAAAGAAAAAATTAGAGCATCTTGAACAAATTTTAGGGCAAAAAAATCTTAAGGTTAATTTATAAGGAATTCTAATGCCTATTCTTATCTTTGCAAACTTTTAAAAGAGTGAGGAGATGAAGGATTAGATTAATTAAGCAAATGGAAAGTTTTAAAACAAATGAAAACATCATAAAGTAATTTTAAAATGATTAGGCTAATTTACAGTACAGCAAAAAAAATAACTAAATAACAATACAAATAGTACTGCAATCACTTTGTAAATGAATTATCATTAACCTCTTTAAAACAAATAAAATAAAAAGTCATGTAAATCACATTTTAAAAATTACATCCACAAACTATAAGAACAAAAAAAATCTTGAAGTAGATACATGAAGTTTACAAAATAAGCTTTAAATACTACAACAAATGAGATAGTTTATTATTAAATCAGCCTCCTGTTATTATAGATAATAAGGTAAAAGTAAAAAAAAAAAAATAACAATAATATTTATAACTAAATCAGTAAATCATGATTATGAGAATTGACCGATTTTATTACATAAAAGAAAATCAATTTTTGAAGAAATAAAGAAATAAATAATTTCCTTGTATAAATTTCAAGCCAAATGGCTAAGCATATAATGCTCATAAGTACTTGATTTATGCTTTACATCCTCAAAAAACAAAAACGAACGCGTATAATTCATTATGATTAAATTTTGATCATTTTTGTTTATTTCGGAATTAAATTCTTATGGATGTACTGTGCAGTACCTTTGTTGTCTTATGAACAATAATAATATACTATTCGATTTTTTTCAATGAACTTTATAGACCTTATTAGTTGATGATAAGTATTTAAATGGTCCTTAAATTTGCGTGTTGAAAAGGTGATTTCTTTTGTATGAATGAGCTCATATTTTTAAAAAAAAGAAATCCTTATAATGCCAAATATAATCGCGTAATCGTCAAGCTACCTCATGATAGAAAGTTGTCGTGAATATATCCCCCTTTAAAAACATATTTTAGTCGCTCATTTACAAAAAATTGCCAAAATCAAAATTAATATTTCAATAATTCTGCAACGATTCAACCATTATCCATACTCCTAATGAAAATATCTAAATATCTAAATGTAATTGATCCTTTATGTGGCACATTCGTTCTTTTTCTTATGTAATGTACTTAAGATATGATATTAAATTTTATGTTCTATAATTTTTTTCTTTTCTATCCTTTTCTTTTCTTTTTTTACTTTTTAAATTCTTCGTTTCATTTCCTTTCATTTTTTTTTTGAATTTCAGAATTTTGTACGTGCAACCCTAAATCGTTTTATCCAATTTCTTCTTTTAAAATATAATCGTTAATGAAATCTTAGTTCAAAATTTATTAATTAATAAACTATCCATTTCTTGAAATTTTAGTTTTAGCTTCATTAATATGGCATGGAATTAAATTGGTAAAATAAAGTAACGTTATCATAAGTTTGAGAGTTTTAGATAACTTCATATGATTTTTGCTAAGCCGGATAAAAATAATAAAATTATTTTTACTTTAATATATTTATTAGGACGATGTGCAAAAATGACCTCTGACGCTCAACATAATTTAAATTTAACCTTGATTCTTATTAAGAATAGGTTAAACATTTCGTAAAAACGTCGTGGAATACATTGGCAACTTTAAATCTTGAAAAAAGAAAAAGAATGTATTTTGATTATGAAAACTTGAACACACAACTTTTATTCGAATATTTTCAGTGGTCACTTGATTCATAATGTCTCAAACAACAAAGGGTTTTGTGTACAGTTTAATTAAATTAATTTTTTAGTGCACCAATAGAAATGCATGATTTAAATTAATAATTTATTTTAAAGTGCACAGTATGCATTCGGTACATCAAATGCACGGATTCAATGCGTTTGAACCGTTTTCTCTCAAAGGATGTTGCGAGTCATTTATACATTCGTAAATATTTAACTTTTGGTACTCAATCTAAATGAAAATGTAAATGGAAAATATTTGACGGTTCACGTTACCGGAAATCCTAAGCTCGCCCTTGTATTTTGCATACATACACCTTGAGAACCTACCTTTAATCACTTCACGATATTTCTGATTATTCATTCATTATTTCATAATTGTGCATTTATTTAGTTTATATATTGACATTGTGAAAGTGTAAAGTGCTGACGTTGAGGTAACACTGATATTATTAAATAAATTTAGCGTCTACATTACTTTCATTTTTCTTCAATAAAAACCTTCTGCTTACATTAAGAATTTATAATTACATCAACAAATACGTACTTTTATCTTTTAAGAGGAAGGCAAATCCACGTGAATTGAGAATTAGGTTCAAATCCACCTTCTCTTAAGAAACCGTCATTTAATTATCCTAATTTATTAAAGATTGGCGCATAAAATGGAACAGTATTTGGTCAATGATTTAGACGTTTTCAATATACAAAGTAAAAAATCTTCCAATGATTGATTATATGAGCGAGATATTTGGAAAAGCAATAGATTTAATTTCCATCTCATTGGATAAATTATTTATAAATAGTGACCAAATTTCATAGTAAAATGAAGTATTGTTGACGTAAATTTATTTAATTAGTCCGGAGTCTAGGATTAATTTGTCCTTACGAATTACTTTATCACGTGAATTTAAAATGGGCTGTGTTTTCAACGCTCCGGACTTGCAAACAGTCCCCGTTACCTAATATCACATAATCAGTGTGGACCTCGCAATGTCAACATAAAAATGCCAATAAATAAAGTTCTAATTTATTAAAACTGCGCAATTACGAAAAATTGTGTAATAAAAATACTAAGAAAATCGGAAATTAAAAAAAATAAACGAATTTACAATAATATAATTAAAATGTTAAAGCGGCGAAAGCGAAAAATATCGCGAAGGGTTTAAAGGAAGGTTTTTCAAGGTGTATGTATACAAATACAAGAAGGGCGAGCGTGGAATGTTGAGTTGTTTAAGGATTTCCTGCTCGTATTTATGAAAATATAATTATTAGGATAGCCTGGCATCCTGCCATTTTGTCATACTGGCACCGTGACAACCTGGCACTGGAAAAATGATCTTCAAAGGACTAACTGCAAATATCGAAAACGCTTTTCATACAAAATTATCGAGTTTCCGGGCGAAATGTAACAGTATCAAGGAAATTATAAAGGTGTCCTTTATGTACAGTAATAGTAAAGGGGACTTCCCAAAGTATAGGAGGATCGATTAACCAAAAACAAAAACGCTTGGTTGAAGTGTCTTGAGGTCATCTTGAAATTATTTTATACGATAGATACTAGTTCTGGCAAATATTCCATTGTCATTATTATTATGAACGTGGTTGCCATTTAATCAAGAATTTTGTGATTGATGAAAGTTCTGTCATTTGTGTATGAACTTTAATCGGTAAAGGTGTCGGGGTTCTTGCATAAAGGGAACCTAATTTACTTAAGGGCTGAGCACAAAAAAAAGGTGTTACCCGACTTCGTAACAACGTGCTTCCGGTTTTCTGCCGTCTTTTAATACTCTTAATGAAGGTGTGTTAATTTGAATATATGTAAAAAATACGATCAACTAAATATGCAATTAAAGTTCGATTGAAATAGCTGTATGTATCACATATCATGTACGACGTATGTTGAAGGGTGTACAAAAAATTTAAAAACAGAAATCGTCTTTTATTAAAGATTTAAAAAAAAATAAAATAAAATAAAACTTTTATGTAAGGCTAAATTTCGAAGGATTTCCATTTTTTTTATCAAAAAAAGATGGAAAGAATTCGACGATAGATAATTAATTATGTATGTATCATACCAATGCAATGCCTGTGAAAATATGCATAGTTCTAACTTTACTAATATGATAGTCCTAGTAATTGTTCACAAAAATGGAAATTTGGATTTATTTTTTTTAACATATGAATAAATAACCTAACAAAATCTTTTTTTTTTAAAAAAAATGTTTTAAAATATTTCGAACGTAAATAAAGGAAGCGCAAACAAAAAAGCAACAACGATATCAATATATTACAACAGATTTCTTTGAGAGAAAGAAAGAAATTATGGATAATTTGCTAAATTATGGATATGTTAGCGAACATAATCACCAAATTTCAAGTACAATTTCATCACATTATGGAAAATTAGCCAGAAATGCCGAGGCAGAAAGGTCTTATGATCCTCCTGGTGAATTATCAGAATATGGCAAAAGACATGATAATGATTTTGTAGAAATTTCAAATATTTCAGTCATTCCTACAAAAGATGAAGTTTTGTGTGTTCGTGAACCATTTTTACCTTTTTGCATTCCTAATGCGCCACATTTTTTACCTAATGGTGCCGAAAGATTACTTGATTCACAATTTTCGTTTATTAAGAGAAGACATGCTGTTTCCTATTCGTGGAAGCATACAAAGCTTCATATACATATTATCACAGGAGTCGAATAATTCTTCTAATTCTTCCAATAAGAGTAATTTTTATAAAGGATTGAAGAAAATCAGAAATGAATATGCTGATCTACATGTATATACTGAAGTTGAATTTGTTAACATTACTTGTAACAAGATGAAAGGATTTGCATACACTTTAAGGTTCACGCCTCCTAAAGTTCGCGGTTCATATCACGATAGGAAAGCATATTGGGAAAAGAGTCGAAGATTGCTAAATGGTAGTTTATTACCCTGCTATTGCCAAATCCAGATGCAAAACGAAAAAAAAAAAGTACTACCGCCGGTGATAATACATCTCGTTCTGAGAAGTATTTGATTTATTTTGGGGTAATAGTATCAAGAGATGAAAAAGTTCTAGCCAAACATCCCGATTACGCAGATATAGACGTCAGTTTTCCGATCAATCCATTTATCCTATTGCATTAGATGAAATTTCTTATACTTATAAGATGATAGAAAATTCTTTAGAAGAAAGATTTATGGTTGAATCAACCGGAGTTTATTTCGAAGCTTACAATCATGTACTGAACACTCTAAAATCCACAACGCCTTCTTCTCTTCCTTTTGTAAAATATTTTGCCCCTAATTCTGATCGTTTTAATCATGATGTTATAGTTAAACCACCATTGTACGCTAGGGCACCTGGATTTCATTTTGATTTGTCAGTTATATGTGACAGAAAGCAAACGTTAAAATTAAATGTGGAAAATCCAAGCAGCTATGATGAAGTACCGGGGGGGGGACAAAAATATTGCACGGCTTAAAAATAAAAATTTAAATAAATTTTTTATAAGTTATTAGCCATG